CTTTTTGTGATCTGCCACTCTGAAAGCCCACGTCACTGCTTGTTGTACGTGTCATGTCATGGGCCTAGCACACGGGCCGGCTTGCATGCTTTATGGGCCGGCTACAATTTTTTAATATTTTATATTTAATATTCATAAATTAAAATAACTTTCATTTATTATTAATAATTATTATAAAAATATTTTGTATGTTATATTTAATGACATTTTGTATTTGTATTAATTAAAAAAAATATAATCACTATAAAATATAATAAAATAATGAGACATTGAAATATTAATTGAATTTCAACATTTTTTATTACTTATAAGTTATAATTATAAATTACAATATAAACTTAAAAATTAGGATTAAAAATTAATATTAAGGAGGCGTTTGGTTGAGGTTATATAAGATTACTGAGGTTATGTCATTTTATATTACTTGATTATCACATTTGGTTTTTAAGTAATATAAAATTCTGGTAATTTTCTAATACCAATCAAAGTTACTATTGGTAATATTGGAGGTAATCTGATAACCTCTATTTTCTTAGATATTGTATGATTATCAAGGTAACCTTATTTTTATTACAGTTCTATCATTTATTAATAAAATTTTAGAACAATAATACTCTTATTTTAAAATTAATTTACATGAATTTGGCTTTTACTATTTCATCTCAATTAATTAACTTTTTGGACAAAATTACCCTTGAATTCAAAACAAATTGCAACCTATCATAACCACCACTCCCACCCACCTACCGCCAGCCAAACCACCATCGGCCGCCATCGAAAGTCATCGAAAGAAGCTGAAAATCACCGTGAGTAGCCCATCGTCATTGAGAGGCTCAGATATGGTTGTTTTCGGTGGCCATTTCTGACCAGATCCACAACCTTTATTGACTAGATTTATTCTAGCCGGAATAGATATGGTCGTTAACGACCAAATCCATAGTAATTAATAGCCATATCTCACTTAGATATGGTCGTCAAAGGCCATCGATCTAGTCGAAAAAGGCCAGATCCATCGATATGAGCGGAAATGACCAAAATAGATATGGCCTTTCTGGCAAAATCTACTCTGATATGGCATTTTTGGCCAGAAACGGCCATATTGGAGCCTCACAATGTCTCTCGGCTACTCACGACGACTCCATGTGACTTTCGACGACGGATGGTGTTGGCAAGCAGTGGCTTAGGGTGGTGGGGGTGATTTTGTTATAAATTAAAGTTTTATATAAGCATGGTTTTAGCTAAATTTGAAATGTTGGGGGTTCAAAGAATTAATGAAAAATTAATAATAAAAATAATATTATATTAATATTTAAAAGAAGACAATTTAGTAATTTAAATAACATACCAACCAATTTATTCATTCTAACCATTACCAAACATATTAATATAACATACCCATTAATTTATTTCAACTAACCAAACACATTTTTCTAAAGATTTCCAGTAATCTTCAAGGTAATATAACTTTTTAGTAATCCAACATTCCCAAAATCGAACGCAACCTAACAATTATATCTCCATTAGAAATATAAGTATACAAATACAAAATGAGAGAGAAAAGAGAATGAAGATTGAAATTGGATGTGAAAAAACAAGAGAAATAATGGGGTATTATAAGAAAAATAAAAAAAAATTTAAAAAGTGTGAAATACTCAATACCCCCTATGCAGGGGGGTAACGACTATTAATTTTTTTTTTAAATTTTTTTAGTAGGCCGTGCCGTGCCTAGAGGTGGCAATGGGCCATGTTGGCACGTGGGTAGGCATAGCCCACAATTTTTTTTGGCACGACATCAAATTTTTCTGCCATGCCATGGCCCTTGGGTTGTGCCATTGGCTTAGGATTTAGCATGTAGACCGGCACGACACGACTCACAAATTAAAAAAAAATAAAAAATTTTAAATGTTTTGAGTAAAGCCTATGTCGGCCCATGAAGGCACAACACAACACAGTCCATCAGCCCATGGGCCATGCCGTGNTTTGGACAAAATTACCCTTGAATTCAAAACAAATTGCAACCTATCATAACCACCACTCCCACCCACCAGCCGCCAACCAAACCACCATCGGCCGCCATCGAAAGTCATCGAAAGAAGCTGGAAATCACCGTGAGTAGCCCACCGTCATTGAGAGGCTCAGATATGGTTGTTTTCGGTGGCCATTTCCGACCAGATCCATGACCTTTATTGACTAGATCTATTCTAGCCGGAATAGATATGGTCGTTAACGACTAGATCTATAGTCATTAATAGCCATATCTCATTTAGATATGGTCATCAAAGGCCATCGATCTGGCCGAAAAAGGCTAGATCCATCGATATGAGCGGAAATGGCCAGAATAGATATGGCCTTTCTGGCAAAATCTACTATGATATGGCATTTTTGGCCAGAAACGGCCATATTGGAGCCTCCCAATGTCTCTCGGCTACTCACGATGACTCCATGTGACTTTCGATGACGGACGGTGTTGGCAAGCAGTGGCTTAGGGTGGTGGGGGTGATTTTGTTATAAATTAAAGTTTTATATAAGCAGGGTTGTTTTAGCTAAATTTGAAATGTTGGGGGTTCAAAGAATTAATGAAAAATAATAATAAAAATAATATTATATTAATATTTAAAAGAAGGCAATTTAGTAATTTAAATAACATACCAACCAATTTATTCATTCTAACCAAACATATTAATATAACATACCTATTAATTTATTTCAACTAACCAAACACATTTTTCTAAAGATTTCCAGTAATCTTTAAGGTAATATAACTTTCTAGTAATCCAACATTCCCGAAACCGAACGCAACCTAACAATTATATCTCCATTAGAAATACAAGTATACAAATACAATACAACTATCTCAACTTTGATTCTAGTTTACAAATATTCAAAGTGAATAATTGATTAAAAAAAATATCATATATCTTCATTTCATTAATTTCTTTGAATATTTGTAAACTAAAATCAAAGTTGAGATATTTGTATTGTATTTGTATACTTATATTTCTAATAAAGATGTAATTGTTAATTTTAATTCTTAATCCTAATTTCTAAGTTTGTATTTGTAATTTATAATTGTAAGTAATAAAAAGTATTGAAATTCAATTAATATTTTAATGTCTCATTCTTTTATTATATTTCATGGTGATTATATATATTTTTTTAATTAATACAAATACAAAATGAGAGAGAAGAGAATGAAGATTGAAATTGGATGTGAAAAAACAAGAGAAATAATGGGGTATTTATAAGAAAAATAAAAAAAAATTTAAAAAGTGTGAAATAGTCAATACCCCCCATTGCAGGGGGGTAACGACTATTAGTTTTTTTTTTAAATTTTTTTAGCAGGTCGTGCCATGCCTAGAGGTGGCAATGGGCCATGTTGGCACGTGGGTACGCATAGCCCACAATTTTTTTGGCACGACATCAAATTTTTGTGCCATGCCATGGCCCTTGGGTTGTGCCATTGGCTTAGGATTTAGCATGTAGACCGGCACGACACGACTCACAAATTAAAAAAAAATAAAAAATTTTAAATGTTTTGAGTAAAGCCTATGTCGGCCCATGAAGGCACAACACAACACAGTCCATCAGCCCATGGGCCATGCCGTGGGCCTTCAGTTTTAGTTGTCTGGCACGGCATAACACGGTCGATCGTAAAAATTTTAGTTTAATACGGTACGATCCACCGCCACCTCTAACAGTGTCGTCCCTTGCCCTTTTCAAAGCCCAAGACACGGCCCACAGGATTATGTGCCTTGTCGTGTGACTGGTGTCATGCTTTTTTTAAGGTGGGCTGTGTTGGCACGCCAGCTCTACTCCCATTACAGCCGCCACGTTGTTTGGTTATGAAAACTTTTTGTAAAAGATTAGCCTAGTCAAAAGGGCAAGTCAGACCCTTTTCAAAGGCATGGATTTTTGCAATTACCAAAGATTATTCCTAAAAATATTAGAAAGAATTAAAAATATAATAAGTTTAACCGTTAATAGATTTCAGTATTAATTTCTCATAAGATCCTTATTCTCCAAGGCAAACAGATTGGCTATATATATAATTATATATATAACCGAACAGAGCCTAAGATCTAAAACATTATTCTACATATATAAACTCTTTGTGCAAATTAACTCATGCAAACCCCGTATACTCATTATAAGATTTGATGATTTAATATTAAATATAATTAAAATAAACTAAAGGGTATGAATGACAAGCATGCCTGGTAACCACAAGAATCCATAAGGATTAGTTTGTGTAATGAGTTTGAACTCGTAGACCGTAGTAACACTTCAACAGCCAAGAGGATTGAATGTTTTGTAATACCAAAGATTTAAAAATTTAAAGATCTAGAAAGTTATTAGATGCAAAAAGATCCAAACGAGATTAGGATCCTCTGCGTTTAATTATGTAATGACGTGTGTATTTTCACTAATTAACGGTTCAGATTTCTTTCTCTATTATATTCTTATTTTATAACACCACACGCAAATAGTAAGAAACCAAAAAGCTGGCAATGACTAAAGCCCATTAGAAAAAAAATACAGTAGACTCCTGAGAGGCCATAGTATATGACCTCAATTTACTCTTAATTAATTAGTCAACACATAGAAAATCAAAACCAACAAATGCAAGAACAACGATTATAAATTCAAGCTCCACAATGTGTATTTTATTCCCACTTGGTCTTCATTTTCAGGTCATATTCCACCATTCTTATCAACGTCTTCAAAGTTAAAGAATTAAAGCTACCTGAATTAAAATATCAACAACAACAGCTTCATGTTTGCCCTTGATTCTTGCCCATTGTAAATCTCTCTTTCTATATAAACAATCCCAATTAGTCCATCTCAAAGCATTAATTAATTCTTACAAGTTTTCTCGATTCTTTTATTTCATTTTTTTTTCTAAGTATGAAGGCTGAGCAAGTTGTTATGTTAGAAGAGGCTCCTGGTGGCCAAAAGATAAGCCATCAAAATGGCAAAGCTACAAGTAGTAGAAGCTCCATTTCTTCTACAAAAACAAGCTCTCAGTCAGAAAATGATCTATGCCATCACTCTAAATCGTTCAGGATTCCAGAGATGGGCGTGCCAATAAGCGACTCTTCGGAGAAGAAACTGTCCTGGCTGCGCTCTCAGATTATTGGAGGCGATGTAGAATTCGATTCTCCTTTCGGAAAACGTAGGCTCACCTATGCAGATCACACTGCCTCCGGCCGGTGCCTTCACTATATCGAAGATCATATCATCGACAATGTTCTTCCCTTCTATGGTAAGTTAATTATTTTCATAATAAGCATATATTTAATTAGTCGTCTCTCCTGCATACGTCCATATTTTAAGTCATCGTACATTAAAAATATAAATCTGTTCAAATTTTGTCGTATTGAAAACGTTAAACTTTATCTCTGAATGTTTACAAAAACCGTCAACGCTTCGTATTTGAGAATTCTCATATATTTAAGTAGTTTCACGCCCTAAATACGATGAATGTTGTGAAATCTGTTACCTGCAAACTTCAAAATGTCAAAAAAACTAAGCTTTAATAGCGCAATCACCGTAAAATATTTCTCTTCTTCACAATTTTACGAAAATTCTCTTGTGTGTATAGGTAACACCCACACCGGCGACAGTTTCGTGGGCGACCGGACGACGAAAATGCTGCATGAAGCGTCCCATTACATCAAACGATGCTTAGGCGGCGGGCGAGATGATGCAATAATATTTTGCGGATCAGGCACAACAGCTGCCATTAAGAGGCTTCAAGAGGTTATGGGGATTGCAGTGACACCAATCATGAGAGAAAGGCTCATAAAATGTCTAAGTACTGAAGAAAGATGGGTGGTTCTTGTAGGGCCTTATGAACACCACTCAAATATCCTTTCATGGCGACAGAGTTTGGCTGAAGTAATAGAGATTGGTCTTGACGATACTGGCTTAATAAATATTGAAGAGCTGAGACTGCAGCTTGAGTTGTATAAGGATTCCGGCCGCCCAATTTTGGGTTCTTTCTCTGCTTGCAGTAATGTCACTGGAATTTATTCTGATACAAGATCGATTTCTAGACTTGTTCATCAACACGGCGGGTTTGCATGCTTTGATTTTGCTGCGAGGTAAGGTGTCATGAGATCTTTAAAAATTCAAAAAATCTTGAATCGAAGAAGATCTTAATTTCAATATATTTTATCATGATATGCAGTGGTCCTTATGTGGAGATTGACATGAGGTCAGGGGAGATTGATGGCTATGATGCTGTGTTCTTGAGTCCACACAAGTTTCTTGGCGGTCCGGGATCTCCCGGCATTCTTCTGATGAGCAAGGCTCTTTACCGGCTTGGATCTTCTCCTCCATCAACCTGTGGAGGTGGAACTGTTGAGTATGTCAATGGCTTCAATGAGGCAGTACGTACCTCTTATTGTTTTTGCTTATTCTAATGCTCATACATTTAACTTAACCTACACATCTGGAAATAAGGCCTGTCTCGACGCAGAATTGACATCCAAAAAATAAAAAACTTGTGCGTCGAGACAGACCTCCGTTGCGGGAGAGGGTATTATTGTCGGAGACAATGTGTCCTGACTCCTGACGCCAGCCCACGCGTTGGTGTACAAATCTTTGCTCTGACGCGAGCTTACACCGGCCTTGAGCTTGACCCATGCCCCGGTGCATCAGGGTCTGATCATTTTATCGCCTACATGCAATCGTGTGGGCATAGTGTAAGAACTCCGACGGTAGTTCTCGACGTCGGAGTATTCACGTTTTCTAGTAGTATTACTAAAACATTTCATGATCAATTTTTGTAGGACACATTATATTTGGATGAAATAGAAGAGCGAGAAAACGGTGGAACTCCTCAAATAATTCAAACCATCAGAGCTGCATTGGCCTTTTGGGTGAAAGAATACATTGGCTATGAAGTGATCGAAAAGCAAGAAGATATCTACATCGAAAGAGCTCTAGAGAGGCTTCTCCCAAACCGAAACATTGAGGTTTTAGGAAACATTACCAACAAGAGACAGGCTATATTATCGTTCCTCATACATTCCACTACAAATTCCTCCCTCGGAAACGTCAAAATGGAGAGGGGAAAGCCTCTCAATGGAGCCTTTGTAACAACACTCTTCAATGACTTGTTCGGCATCCAAGCTCGCGGAGGCTGCGCCTGTGCCGCACCCTACGGTCACAGCCTGCTTAATTTCGATGACACTCGATCGCTTAAAATTCGTTCTGCCATACAAAAGGTAAATTATAACTTGTTCATACAATTAATTTGTGATTTAAAAATAATTTTCAAAAACTAAAATATAATTCAAAATTTTGAGTTGCATCTTAATATGTTTTATATACCGTTAAAAATTTTAGGATTGGATTGAAAAACTGTTTTCGAAAAACATTTTGACTCACTTCTACCAAATACATTTATATAAGATTTGTTTTATCCCTTGTTTTTTTTTTTTTTTTTTTTTTTTTTTTTGAATTGTCTTTAAATTCTATACTAAACAGGCCCAATTTTTCAAAAATATTTTCATAAACTAGTTCGGTTTAATGATTAAATTCAACCTGTAGGGCTATACCCAGTCAAACCGGAGGGACAGAATTAGCTTCCCGTACTATATGTTGAACGAGGATTCGAGTTCATTCTTGCTGCATGGAGTTTTTGGCGATTTATGGCCAGAGATTTCTGAGCTTGTACCATTTCAATATAGAACAGGAAGCTGGTGCTATAATCCCTAAAGAACTTCATCAGTAGGAGCCAATCAAAATATTAATTTGAAGCCGCTTCAATAATTCCATTCAGGAAATATAAGTTTGGATAAAGGGTACAATATAATAAAGCTGATGCACAACATTTGGGAATGATTTTCAAGTATACTTCTTATTGGAGAATGCTAGACTTGTTGCCAGTCTTCTTCCCAAGTTTCCTCCTGAAAGAAGTCTGCCGAGAGAGATTGATCCAAGTATCTTGCACTTCAGGATCTAGGTAAGTTTTCTTTTATTTTTTATGTTCTAAATCAATTACATTAAATGTTGTTAAGATTGTTTAATTCAATTGATTATATAGAAAAAGGTCGATATCTTTTTGACTTTTATCTTAATTAATGTTGAAAGTTTTTGATTAATTTCATAAAATATTTTCAATTATTTCGTTTATTTAAATTTCTTGTTGAAATTTACTAAAATTTGAAGAAGACGCTAAAAATAATTGTGATGGATATAGAACTATATTTAGGGCAAATTTAATGTTTAATGATTAAGGATACTAAAAGATAAAGTATATATTGGGAATTGCATTTAATTTAAAGGAATCAGGGAAAGTTTAATCAATAAGGGGTGAAGGGTAAAAATATATGAAATTTAAAGGATAAAACTATGTATCTTTAAAAAAAATCTAAAAATTTGTTGGCAATAGGTATCACTTTTTTCTTTTATTACCGGGGGTGTCCGGGTTTGTTTCCGCGCATCTCTATTAATGTCTTAGACTCTAAACTGTCGACCGGTAAAAGCCCCAATGGTACTCCTATTGTGTCTGGGGAGACTCGAACTTAAGAACTAATGAAATCTCATTTTGCTTTTAAACCATTAGGTCACCCAATGTGGTTCTTGACTTTCTCTTAGGTATTATATTATCACATTTTTTAGTGATTATCATGTTTTTAGCATTAAAATCAGCACATATTTAACTATTCTCCACCTTTTTATATGTGGTTTAATATTAAATAAAGTTTGAAAGATTGTAATTAAATCGTCTTGTTACTTAGTGACTCCATTATCATTTAATATTTATCATCAATTAAATCTGTGGGAAAATAATTACTTGAACACTTAGTTGTTTTTTGCTCATAGTTTATGATAGTTACTTGTGAACTAATTCTAATTGTCAAATTAGCAACTTTAATGTTTACTTGTCTCACAGAAAAAAAAAAAAAAAAAAAAAAAAATAGTGACTTAATACGTTTGAGAAATTACGTTTGTATTTAAAATAGACCTGTTATGTACTAATTCCCCAAAGGTTTCAGAAAATCCTAAACTACCACCAACTATTACAATAACCGTCAAATACCCCCCTTTAGATTTGCAATATACCCACTTCAAACCCTATGTCCATTGAACACTCTACAAGTAATATACACACTTAAAACCCGAGTTCATTGAACACCCTACAAGCTTAAAGGATTAGATAAGTTACAAAGTGATAGGTGACTTTAAGATTTGAATCCAAGAACTCAATAAAAAAGAGTAAACTTCTTTGACTGATTGACCAACCCCTTGAGGTACATGTAAATTTAGAGATATATAACATACTTTGACAAAGAAGAAGGAGAAGTTATTTTCTCTCATTGTGTTTTCTGAATTTTCATTCATTCTCTCTCCAACCAAACATCAAATCTCTTCATTCAAATTCATGAAAATCTTGATTAAAGATGTTCACTGTTGATTTCAAATCTATAATAAATCTTTGAAATATCACTCACAGTTGTGACAATGCTACTGTAGAAGATTTATTGATGTATTTACAAATTGACCTTTAACGCTGTCTCCTCGATATCAATCAAACATAAAGATAGCACCATCTCAATCCCATTGTATTCAATATAACTCCATTCATTGATTGTTCTATAATTACTTCATTTCTGCATCTTTCTGGCATAAAAGTTCTTCATAAATGCTCTGCAGCTAACCTCCTTTCTTCATATTTTTAGAACAATCTCGACATTCCCTCAGTATTTTTATTTTAATTGTCATTTTTATTATAATACTTCTTATAATAAATTAGGATTTGCAATTTTTGACACGATACAGTAACATAAAATGAATTTGATACAATTTAAGTAGATTAGGTTTAATCTTAATTGTATTCATCTTGACAAACTCAATCTATTTATTACACGTGTTTTGCTTAGGTTGAAGGGTCTCAAGTTGTGAATCCATTTAACGATACAATTAATTAAATAATGAGTTGTGTAATCTATTTATTACACGATTATTCGTTTATAACTCGTGTATGGACCCAAAATCGTATTGGGCCTGACGAGGCCCAATAACGAAACAAATACGTTATGGCTCAGTGCCTCAGCCCAACTCCGGTTGGACCCATGCTTAGATTCACCTTATGAACTGTCCATTCTATGAGTTGGACTATCTTACAAGTTAAGCTAAACTGGATTCCAGCCCATTACTCCATAGTAGTCCATAAATAGGAACAAGAATCCTATCACCTTCCTAATTCATTCAAGATCCAGTATCTTATATGAATTAATACCCTTGAATCGATAAAGGCAAGAAGTGGAACTCATCTACCAAGTAGGACTCAGAGTCCTCCTAGGATTTTAACCCTTTGGGTTCATTATATAAACACAGGCAAACCCTCTCAAATATTCATTCAGAAATAACCTACAGCACCTAGCTCTCAAAGTTCTTGCTCCCGAGAACCACCGCATTATTCCGTAATCTTTCCCGTTGTCAGCCCTTACTAAATACCCTCAACCTCGTTGACTTGACCGTCAGAGTGTCTATGACAAACACTACACCGGTGTTTATTTAGCCTTTACATTCTCTTCTCTTCTCTGTGCAGGTCCATCAAGTTCTTCGTGGCTCTACTTTCATAAGATCTGTCCCTTCTGAATCAATAGTAGATTTTACCGTCTATAGTTTGGTGCCCACTATGGGACCTTGACACTATTCACTCAAACGCCCTTATTTTGCTCTTTTCATCTGATTCAACCATCACAACTGGAACACCAAAACTCCACTCATGACGTTGAGGCTCAATTGCGGCTCTCACACCTGTGTAAGAGAGCAACCACAATACAACCTCTTGAAACACAAAACACGACCATCTGTGTGGAGAATCAAGCCTTTAGGATAAGGTAACCCAATTTTACTCTTTAGACTGGTCTTTGAACCAACATGCATCCTCCTCTCGTCTCCCAGTCCCAGGTCACCCTAGATAGCTATTCACCACGCTGGATCATGGAATCCTAACAAAACAATCCCACCTCCATTTGGCTCCACCACAACTATGCTCCCAATTAAGCCGACCCAAATGAGACCACTCCATACCCATAATCCTTTTGGTCGCCAAAGCTCTCACCTAAACAACCCCGTTACAATAGTACCCACTATACACTTACCAACCTTCACATTTGGTGGCTGGCACTCTCCCCAACCTTTCCCGTTCACTCGGCCATACATATTAACACCCATGTGTTTCCTCATCTACAAAACACAAGCTTGTACACCCCCATGGCAACCCCCTTGAACAAGCTTTAGCCAAGCGGCTATCTGACTGGAAGCAATGATCTAATGCATTCCCATATGCCTATACCTCTTAAGAAAAGCCAACCCCAAAGCTATGCCAACTCACCCTTCATGGATTTCATAGCCCCATAGAGATGCCTCTACGACGGGACCACCGACCTTGATGACGACATAGCACCTACAAACAAAGGATGTTTGCCATCGCCATCCTGCATGATCTCCACGCGCATCATGCAAGAGCTTCAACTCTAGCGTCAGGGGACCAGCCCTCCAATGGTATACCAAATACCCAACACTCTATTGACTCCTTTGCTCCCCCACGATACCTCGCCAAGCAGTCTCGCCATAGCAAGAGACTTGATAAGCTCTCTAGTGACCTTTATAGAGTACAATCACACTACGAGAAACATTGCAGACTACATGGGTTGCTTCAACAAGGAAAAAATCTCCATTCCATATTACAATCAGAGACACCCATTAACGCCTTCAGGAAGGGGCTCCTCCTCGACAGGGAGTTATATAAAGAACTCACCAATTCAACTGCTCTACATGAATGATGCTTGGCTCGCTTTGGGAGAAATAAGGTGGGAAAAGGATGAAGTGAAAGGTGTCACCACTTGCCTACGAAGATCGTCGTTCCAAAAGTCAAACGACACTAAGAAAACTAC